GCCCGCTGCCCCCCCCCCCCCCCGGGGGGGGGGGGGGGGGTGGCCCTTGCCCCGCTGTCACCTCCATTCTCCTCCACTAGCACCCCATGCTGCCACCACTTCCAGTGCCATTATCTTCACCCCCCCCCCGCCCCTGGTCCTGCTCCTCAGAGGTGGCGGGGTACCACCATGGCGGTGGGCAGAGAGGGGATGGAGCAGGGGGCCAAGGCCAGTGCTGCTGGCCTCGTCCCCCCACTCTATCCCTGCCATCATGGCAGTGCTCTGCCACCTCCAAAGACCAGGGCCAGGCAAGCATTGCCCCTCCATCCCTGCTGTCATGGCAGCACTCTGCACTCTGATTGGTTGTTTCACTAACCAACCAGAGTGTTCCAAGAGCGTTATGGACAGACAGACGGACTAAGCCCTTTATTATATAAGAATATAATGTTACTGTATATGTTCCAGTGATAACAATAATTAAAAATGACTTCTCTGGTTCATTTGTAGGCTTTCATAGATGAAGGGAAACAAAAGGAAACCCTGCCTTTCTATAGATTACTGTCTATAGGAAGGTACAAATGCAAGATCATTACAGTGCTCAGTAGCTATGTTCAAAAGCCAACTATTTACCCCTTTTATGTAGGAGAACACTGGCATGTCTGCGTCCATTTCCATTTTCAACATAACATGAGTAATTTCCTAGGTCTCCTTCCTCCACAGAATCAAGAATTAATGAGATGGACACTTCTTGTTCCCCAAGATGTTCCTTGAGAATTCTACAAAGAAAAGAAAAATACTGTCAGCGGTTTAGATAAAACTGTGATATAATAATTCTATTCACAATTCACAAATTTATTACTTCAGATCTGGCTATAGTATTAAATTACATCATGCCATTTTCTCCCTTACCCCTAATGAGGAGTTTTGGTTTTAGTCATGCTAATAAATATTGCAAGTATTTGTCTTCTTTAAGCAGGACACTGGATGCTCTGACAATACATTTAAAGTTTAGAGGGATACAATTTTCTTACAATAATAGAACTAAAAACTGATCTAAAAAGGTTACAAGGGTTATTTTTAGGCCTATGGTAGCACTAAAAATCTGGAAGAAACATTGGTTTTGTTCAAAAGCACTTGTCAGCAGTCTTCATGATTTCATGTCATGGCAAGAAAAATCATTTCCTGAGATGCTAATGATCATCATGGTTATTGTGTAGAATTAAAAACCACCAGGAAGAGCTGAAATAGCTATCATAGGCTTCAAATGAATGATGGAGGCAAACACATCCTGGGTAAAAGCCTATTTTGTCACCATCTTTCCTGTATTTCACACTCCCCTTTACCATTCCCAACAATAGTGTTAATAGTCCTGAAGAGCAAATAGGAAATTACTTGAAACTCTCATAACTACCACCTCAAACCTGGCCAAAATAAATGAAAAGCACCGTTAAAAGTCCTCTCTGAACCAACATAAAACAAAGAAGCTGTAAAGAGGTTTATCACCTCTTTTAAACATTTTAAATCCTAACTCTCTAGGTGAAAGGCTGTGGGGAAGCTTTAAATAAGAAATATAGTACAGCAGAGTTCTATGCAATTTGGCATATTGGGATTGAGCTCCGTAGAATAATCGTGGAGTACACTGAGGTGAAATATTCTTGACTTCATGTGGCCCTTGCGCATGGAGTGGAATATGACAGGAATAACTTTTAACGTCTGCATGGTGCTCTAGGTTTGCCAGTAAGATTTTCTCTCGTACTTTAGTTTGCCTATGCTTATTCTGGAAAATTAGACAGAATAAACAAAGCTGGTTCCCTTCCTACAAAGTAGCACACACTTCAGTGAAGAGAGATGGAATTTAAAAACAGCTAACTTCTTACATGGTCAGAAAAGTTAAGGTCGATAACATGCCTACAGTAATTTAGTAAGGGGTCCTAAAGTAATGTATACTGGTATACTGATATGTTAAGTATATGCAAACAGCGTATTGGTTCATATACTAAAAAGGTTCCTTTCAGATATGAGTAGGCACTTTATAATAATATTGTATGAGATTTTGTAGTATATTTGAACCAGAGCATCCTCAGTGGAGGCATACCTTGTTCTTAATCCCAGGCTAAAGCAGCACTTTTAGACTATCAAATCCCTTGCTAGCTCCACTGTAAAACCAGAGACATTGCAGGCCAAAAATATCCTTTGAATACAATTCCTTTCTGAAATAATATGTATAATAATATTTAGAAACAAAGGCCTGACTTAAACATTAACACTATTATTTTAGGCTCTGTGACTTCATAAAAAAAAAAAAAAATATTTGTGGGCCTTGTTCTGGATTTATTTCTATTGACTGCTTCTTAATAACATTTTGAGGGGTAAATATTACTGTTACGCAACAAAGTTATTATGTGAATTCAGACATTACATTAGCAAATTCTTGTGTAAGTTGTTGTAATTTATAGTGTTATAACTAGGATCAGATCTTACCAATTACAGCATTTCCCCATTCCTCCATCCTAAATAGTCAGCTTTAGTAAAGGAACAGAAAGGTTGATGACCAAGTAAAGGACCATCTTCTCCACCCTGTTACATCAGTCTCATAATGTGTATTCCACTGAAGTCATAAGAGTAATGGTTACATAAAACTGGTGTCACATACAGGCCAATGAGGCCTATAATATTTCCACACTCTTGTTAGTAATAAAAATCTGTTCCTTCTCTTTAAATAGTGCTATAATCACTATCAGAAACAAATACTGTAAGAGGACACATTCTTCTTTTTACCTGATATCACTTTCCCAGACACGATTTTCATCTAAATCTTCAATAAATTTCTCTCCTTTCATCCAGTAAATTAAAGGACTGACGTCTCCACTGTATCCAAAGAAAGCTCGGCAGGTTAGATTAGCAGAACTGCCTGTTACAAAGAATTAAAGAGAAATTTTATTACAAAATATATGAAAATATTTAATTTTTGGATAAGCTGTTAGCAACTGCTTTGTTTGCTCATATCAGATTATGAAACATATGGATTTGCAGATACAGTTTATGACTTGCTGATTTCTAACCCTTATTTAACATGTTTCCTGGAAACACACAAACAAAAGAAGCAGTGTTGTATAGGTATAGGGTCCAATCCTGGGTTCTTTCAGGCTGGGTACAGACATTAAAAAAGCCTGAGGCAGATTCAGACTAATTTATATGGGTTCTCTAAGTGAACTGGGATAGTCTGGGAGGGAAGAGAACACAAGTGTGCCCTTTGGGGTGCGGAGGGGGCATGCAGGCTGCCTGCACTGGCTGAGGTGAGTAGGTTGGGGGCAATCCTGCACGTCTCCTGGCAGGCTGCCAGAGAATGCTGAGTGCAGCCAGCAGCTGGCCACCCCTGACTGGCCAGCACAGCCCCTCACCCAGCCCTGCTGCTTGCCAGTGGTTGGCTGTCAGATGCAGCAGGTAGACAGTGAAGGGGGAAGCAGAGTCGGGAAGGGGGAATGGAGGCCCCCACTGCATGGACCTGATCCTGGCCTTGGCCCCCGCAGACACAGAAGGTAGTATTCCCCTCACCCCCTTGCCTGGCTGAGGCTGTGGCTGTGTCCCTCCCCTCACTGCTCTGTTGTAAAGGGACACAGACGCAAGGAAAGACACCAAAATTCCTCCCCACACACACACACTGTTGCTGACAGCTGGCCAAAGGCAGGAGGTGGGGATGGGGACAGAACAGGACAAGTTCCAGCACACTGCCCTGCAAGGGGAGGTTAATAGGGATGCCAGTGGACATCAACCTAACTTAAGTTAGGAGGGGATCTGTTACAGAGGATCGACAGACAGGTTTAACCTAAGTTGCTTAAGTATGATACCACATCGATCCAGGTCTCTTAGACTGGGTTCCACCATTTTTAAACCAGTCTATGTACGTTGAACTTCGGTTCCATGGCAGGTTTAAATCAGTTTGCGATCACTTATACCGGTCTGTGTGTAATGTCTGTACCTGGCCTTACTGAGAGTTTGGGGTTTACAAGGGATGTAGGATCCAGTCTGTGCATTTATGATATTGTGCTGGTTTATCCAACCTAAAAATTAAATAGACACCTGGACCCTTTCCATGTATTTCTATTAAAATAGGTAAATGCAATGTAAAGCAGACTCTCAATCAAATCTGTATTAAGGTTATAGCACTTACTGCAAAGAGTACTATGCAAATAGAAGCCTATGGAAAAGTTTCTGTCAAGGTTTATTTTTGACAAGTTCTGTTTCTAAGAGACTGCCATTAAAAGCTAAGGTTCTCATTCCCTTTTTGGTTACCCTTACAAAGAATTCTTATTCAATAAACCCTAAAGAATAATATGTATACACTTATTACCTACCTTGAAAATATACTTTAACATGTAAACACAAATATGTACATTTTATTAGGTAAATAAGGCTAATGTTGATGTAGGGAATTTAATACTTAATCCTGATTTGCTTGATTTTTATTGTGTGCTCTTACTATTTCATTAATCTACTACTACTACTACTACTACTATTTTTTTAAAATGTCACCTCCTGCCTCAAATATTTCATGTATGGCTGTCTGAAAATGACCAACTGATAACACCAATTAAAGTCAGACCCACTATACAAACACATTATGCAATATTACTGCACAGTTCTGCAAAGGCTTAACAGATATCAGCTCTTCAAAACCAGTGTGTTTTCCTCTCCATTGTGACTTGATGTCAAAATATGCAGAGTGAGTAGCTCCTTCTCCAATGACAGGAGTATTTTCACTGAGTCAATTCAACCCTGCATTAACATTAAAAACTTTGTTTTTGGTCTTGGGTCTCTAGGGAGGAACATGAAAAGCAGACAAACCAGTAGCATTAGTACTGGCTAAAATACTGTCACCTTGAACTCTGTTGAGGTTCCAAAACATCAAAAGAACCTCTTGTAAAGTGAGACACTACCTCTCATGTAAGAGGGCAGGAGGATGGGAGACAATCAGGTAATCAATGAATATATAAAATGAATAAACATTTGCATAACTTATTAAGATTTTAATTTGGAAACAAATGCATACTACTGTATAATACAGATGGATTAACTAAGTGTCCTATTATCAGAAATGATTTGCAGTCTTCTGAAAAAAGCATCTGGCTTCCACACCTGGCTGAACTAGTAACAATCCCTATCACGCAAACAACCACTATGCTTGCAGTCTAAATTTACATTTTTAAGACAAGAATTATATATTACATTTTTCAGCTATTTGACAATTACATTCCTGTTGGCCATTATGTGAAAGCTCACCTTCACTCAATATCACATGCTACAGAGCACCTTGTCCCTAAGCAAGGGCAAAAAGAGTCATTAAGATATTGCTAGCTTCCACTTCTGTATACCACATTTACTTGAATCTAAGATAACCCTGAATATAAGATGACCTCACAATAATTAGATTCTATATGTGGAAGACGTATACAGTTACTACAATGTTTTCAGGTATAGAATCTAATTATTGGAAGTTTGCTTTGATTTTGTTGCCCTCTCACTGCTACAGCTAGGAAGATAGATCAGGGCGAAGGGGCGGGGGAGGTAAGGTAGCCTCCTTATCCCTTTCAACTTCTTTCCCCTGCAGTCACTCCCTCCAACCTTACTGTCAGACCCAACTCTCCCTAAGCACATGGAAACAAGAGGCAAATTTGAAAACACTGGTCTTGAAAAAAAGCTTCCTGTAGTAATTTGCATATAGACAAATTATTATGGTTGCCCATAAACTTAGTTCATCCATAATTAATACATTTTACCTTTTTGGAACTTCTGCAAGCTTTAGCACAAGTACTCCATAAACATACATTTCACCAGCACTTTTGTACCTACTTATATAGTACAAACTATGCATGATAGTCCAAAGCCAAAGGGCTTGTGATTTACCACATAGTTAATTGGGTTGGGCCCCAGCAGAATCAACAGTGTTTCAAGCCATGGTGACCCTATAGCTCAGTACTGCTTGTATTCATGTGTAGTTCAGATAACTACACCCCACCCATCCACAAAGGATTGGGCCCCAGCAGAATCAACAGTGTTTCAAGCCATGGTGATCCTATAGCTCAGTACTGCTTGTCATGCATGTGTAGTTCAGATAACTACCCCCCCCACCCACAAAGGATTGATGTGTTAATTACTGCCCCCCGCCCCCGTCCCCCAAATGGAACTGGGTGTTTATCATGAATCCTGAGATGCTCCAAAAATTTATATGTAGAGGAGGCACAGGGCAACCTAGTCCAGATCCACTTCATAGAAGGAGGGGTCACACTAACCACATGTGACAGGCTGAGAAAGGGAGTGCCTCTCATCTACAGAGATGTTTGGTGATGTTTGCCAGACATTTAAGGCTGGTAAAGAAACAGGAATCATTGGGAATGGGAAAGAAAGGTACAGCTAAGCTGTGGGAGTGAAGAGGAAGTAAAAATATATGCTAGGTAGTGGCTCACCATGACTTGAATAATAGCCAACACTGAGGACTGCACACTATGGGCACCACCATTTACCTCACACAAATGAGCTCCAGTAACCTCTCCTTGTGGTAGGTTCCCATCAACATCTCAGCCTTTTTGGCTAAAAACCCTTCGGTTATCTTCACCTGCCTGCCATTCAATGGTGCCATCTGATACAGGAACTCCAACAGAAGGTATCAACACTACAGTTACGAGGCAGAAACTTTCCCCCATGTTCTGCATGCCTGCAAGCCCCACATCAGAGTGTGGCAGCTCTGCCACAATGCTGCCTAGGACTGACTGGCAAAGGCCATCCCAGCCTCAGTGGGAAACATGTCTATCAACTGCACCATCCCAAAATGTGACAGCCAGCTGTGCCTGGACATTGGTATGACTGACAAGGACAGCAAGCGCATCGTGATTGTGGATGTCACCATGATGTTAGAGAACATGTTAAAAGCTTTCACTGAAGTATGAAAACAAAACAGAGCAGTACCAGCCACTGGCAGACACCTTGAGAAGCTGGCGATACAATGTAATGGTTGAGGTGCTGATCATCAGGGCACTCGGAGCATAGGACTCCAACAATGAGAGTGTCCTGCATGCCTGCCATGTATCCCGCCACTATGACAAGCTGATGTGGTGCTTCATGGTATCCAACACCATCCAGTGGTTAAGGGATATCTATGCAGAACACATCATGGGACAGCAGCAGTACAGGGACCCCACCACACCAACAGCTGGAAGTGTCAAAGAAGGGAATACCCGACTGCCCCTCCTCCCTCCTTCCCCCCGCCCAGCTGCACTGAATCACCACCAAGGACTTTTAATCCTGGGCTTTTCCCCACCCCTGCAATTGTATCCTGCATGTTGCTATTTGTAACAGTATGTGTTTTCCAGACCACCTCCCTATTACAATGTGGTATTGTTATGAAGGGTCTCTGCTTTACGAGCATCATGCCCCTTCCCTCCCTTTCCCCCTTCCCACTCCCGGGCTTAGTTGGTTGCATGTTTTATATGTAACTTGGTTACATTCCCACTCCTACCCCCACCCTCTACAATGTACCCCTCTGCCCCCTTGGGTCTTTTTGTATTTCCTTGTGCTTTGAAGTTTTCATTTGAAAGTTAACATTTTCTAATAAATTAAATTTTTGGCACCAAGTGGGGGCAGGGGAAAGGGCCAGGCCCAGTGCCAGTTCCCTGTGGAGGGAGCACCCACTCATTTTTTAAGGGCCAAACAAAAAAAAGTTCCCATCAGTATGTTTGCCAACACGGGCCATGTTTTATAATCATTGTCAGCGTTGGCTGCATTTAATGAGGTTTCCTTTTATGTGGATATAAGATGAGGGCCTTTTCCCCCTATGCTGATAGGGCATAGAAACCTCTTGTGTTCAAGTGAATATGGTAGCTAAACACATCTATCTTGAAGGCAAGACCATTCCAA